ATTTGACATAGCCTTGTCTTCCCAAAAGCTATTCTTATTCAGGGTGGACTGTAGTTTCGAGACTTTGCAGAATCCAAACTGCAGTCCACCCTGATAAATAATAGCTTTTGGGAAACAAGGCCATGTAGAATTCAACGGAAAATATCACGTCTACCCATATCAACCATCAGTCCTTAATCGCTTTGAACGGTATAGAGTGAACACAACCCAAATATATACATCTGCCGGCATTGAAGCATCTAGACTTTAGGCATTTCGAATAGAAGAGGCATGATTGCGATCTTCAAGTCTAATCTATGCCTTATTTTGCATGCCCTGGAGGATAAGGCTTCCGTGTAGAGCGGGCTTATTTAACAGTCCTTTTTGCCATCACGACAGGAAGACGTGTTGTTTTTTGGCCAATTCCACAAGTTGCTTTGCCTTACCTTCCTGTAGGTCGGTCTCCTCTTGGTCATAGGCATGCGATTCCCTCCACCTAAATAAGCCATCTTGCAGTTGCCGCACCGATTTGCCAGGCTGGCATACCTCTGAAGGAGTCGCTTCTTCACAAGGTGGTCATCTTGCTTTTAGCTCTTTCCGACTTCGCCGTCGCCCTCCCACCGACATGACTTGCCTCACTTCCTCCTGACGACGGCCCTGCGCTCATCCGGCAGCAGTTCTCGTTCGGTCTCCGAGTTCTCTCGACTGAGGCGTGGCGGCGAGCCGAGACTACGAGCCGGCCGACTCGGCAAGAGCATACAGGCGGCATGGCAACCACCGGTTAGAGGGTCAGGCCAGACTTGACGCCTCGCCCAATGCCGGGGAGCTGATGGGCCAGATTGGCTCTCGAGACAATCGAAGTAGCCAAGACCTGTTGTGTGGTGAGGCCAGCCCCTCGGCAACATTAGCTGCTGAGGCTGCCGACGCCAGTGCCGCCTTGGCCACGACCCCGGGCCCAGTTGCCCTGGTGACACGCAAGAAGCAGCCTCGTGTTCAGGCTAGCATGGTGCAGCCGATTGCCAGCGCCGGCAGACCAGCAACTCTGGTTTGTGATAGCTCCTCACCCCGTTTTAGCCCCTCCTTTCAGAACCACTCTGTCCTTTGTCTGGGGGGGAGAAGCGACAAACATGTAGTTGAGCCATTCGGCCAGAGGAAGTTGTCGGAGGTAGACTTGTCGAGGCCCTAATTCACGAGATAAGGATGGTACAGTTCCTCAGTCTTCTAAGTTAGATTTTCAGGATCTTCATCCTGACTCAATCCTTGACTCATCCTCACTCGCTGCCGCTCAAGTGGGATTCAGCTTTCGTGTAACAGACAGATAAATGTCGAAGAGAAGACACATTCAGTTCATCTTTTGGCTGCAAAGGCCTGTTGAGCTTCCTTCCATTTCGAGCGAAAGTGTTGGTGAAAGAGATTCGAAGGTCGGTTCCATCAGAAAACGTTGGCGGATCCCTCCTGACCAGCTGCCGATTGGTTTTACTGGAAGAATT